GAATTCTGGACTAACACATCGATGGCACATCAAGTGCTATCAGCATGGTACGTCTCCATGAATGCCTGAATTTAAAGTTACTACCAAAATACAACCTTTACACATGTTTTCAAACTGACTAAACACATTTGACAAATCCAAAACATATTAAGAGGCACTTTCAAGGGGCTGGACAGATGGCTCAGTGGTTAAGTGCACTTGCTCCTTTCACAGAGGACCTAGGTTCAGTTCCTAGCACCCACATGGTAGCTCTAAACAATCTGTAACTCCAGTTCTAGGAAATTCTAAACCTTCTGACCCCTGATGGCACCAGACACACACGTGGTATGCATATATGTAGATGTGAGAAAAACATTCATACACTTAAAATAAAAATACATCTAATATAATTTTTTAAAGGCTCTTATAATTTTTGTCTGTTGTACAAAAGAACTAGAAAGCTAAAAATACATGTCTTTTGTCATTTGTTGTTGAAACACATTAGGAGGCAAGAGCTGATGACTGGCTTTGTCTCATATCTTCTGACGGCCATATGGCACCAGAGAAAGCAGTTGTTAGTGAAGCGTATAGGGAAGTAGACATGGTGTGCTGGCTTGTAATCCCATCACTTGGGAGGCAGAGACAAGTAGAGCTCAAGGCCAGCCCAACAGTTAGCCCACACAGGGATTCCTTCAATTGACTGTGAACTCAACAGGTTGCACGTTCTTGTGAAGCTAGCAGACTGTCTTCCCTGCCTTTGCCATCTAGCTTAAGTAAGTCACAGGAGCCATTCAGACAGGCTTCCACTTTTAAGCAAGTTACAAAATCCTCATATGTGCCAGAAGTAAAGAACATTTGCTCAAAATTACACGAGGGAATTTCTTCAGACACACTGATACTTTTACCTCCCCCTTAGTCATTTCTTCTCATGATAAAGAGCCTTATTCTCTGAATCCACACCATGACCACAATGACTCTTTCCAATTTCACTTGATCTTAAAGACATAAAGAACTCAACCATTCACCATTAAACTAATTGATATTCAGAGTCGGGGAGAGGCGTGTGCTTGCCTTCAGCTGTTACCCTTGGTGACCTCATCAGCCTCCAATGGACAGTTCTACCCAAGGCTCCCACTGATGGCCATGGTTAAATGCAATGGGTTATAAACAAAACTGCAAGTCACACACATGGGAAAGAGACTGATGGGTACGATGGCTGTGGGAGAAAGAGCAGTGGGCCGTCACTGGAATGCAGTACACATACCTATGAAACTAGTTTACAAAGACCTGACTGTATCTTATATAGTCCCTACTACTTTAAGTTGTAAAAATCAAAGTGAGAGCTGGGCGGCAGTGGCGCACACCTTTGATCCCAGCACTCAGGAGGCAGAGGCAGGAGGCTCTCTGTGAGTTTGAGGCCAACATGGTCTACAGAGTGAGTTCCAGGACAGGCTTTCCAAAGCTACACAGAGAAACCCTGTCTCGAACCCTGCACCACCACCACCACCCCTGCCCCAAAAACTTAAAGTGAGATAAGGTTTTCAGACAAAGACGTCACATGTTTAAGAGAATCAGTTGCTACCTGGAAGGGGTGTGTGTGTGTGTGTGTGTGTGTGTGTGTGTGTGTGTGTGTGCGTGTGTGTGTGTGCGCGCGCACACGCGCATCTTTGATATTCTTGCTGTATAAGGTATGGTTCTACATTTTTGGCTTTGTTTTTATTTTTAATTTTAGTTCTTTTCCCCTGTAACACAGAAAACTAGTTCAACAGATTGCTTAGGTTTCATCCCACACTGTCTGCTCTGCCAGTGACCCTTTGTAATTTGTTCTTTACCATTTGTCAATCCATCAGGGTAATTTGAGCTATATTTATTTTATTTTTAACCATCTGAGAAATTCAGAGCTACACAAGATCCAACCATGATGATTGTCTAATTACCACTCATTTTACTCCAATTTAAATAGTGATTCAACGATCTGGCCTACTGTAAACCCATTAGTAAGTCCCAGCTTTAGGGATACTACCCTTGCACAGAGGACAGACATATCAGGATGAGGCAGGCAGAGTAGATGACAAGCAGTCTCCATTCCAGCTTCTTTCTAGCTTCTAGAAATTTCCCTAGAGAGTCACCATAAACTACTAACATTCTATTACTTATGGTTGCCTGAAATCCAGGATCAGAGGATAACCTCCCCTCCAAAAAAAAGTCATTATATGAATAAGTAAGAATAGATAGGAACTCTACCAACAAATCAAAGAATCCATGGGAAAGGAGGTAAAGGCCACCGTTACACATCAGGCACCATGGATGGCCACATCACTGCAACAGTAGATTAGACCACTTTTCCAATAACTACAGGGACCTGGCTTCCTAATTAAACCACCACAATACAGGAGGTCACGGTCATAGACTTGATCTTTATCAGTCTATCAGGTAACAGTTTCATTGTCAAAAGCTTGCCTCTTACCTTCAAGCTATCGTAATATCATCACTTATATGAAATGATTCATGAGAGAAGTCAAGAGCCAACAATGCAAACCCATTACCAGTACTGGAAAAAAACCTGGGACAAGACCTGTGAGTCAACCCACGGAATAAATTTCATTTAAGAACTTCCTGGTGATCTGGGCCTCAAGATCAAACCCATGTAAAAACCCAGTTCTGCTACTACGAGCTCTGCACATGACCTTGAACAAGCTAATGTGACAGAAGCACAGGTCAAGGTGGCCTCAGATAAACCTGGCAGACAAGAGTACAGGGGTGAAGTAAGGTTCGTCTGTGCCAGTCCTGGTTTTGCAGCACACTAACTATAAAACACAGAATAAGTGACAGCCTCATTAGTATCATGGAGCTGGGAGGATGGACTAAGGCAATTACAGAGGACCTAGAACACCAAAACTGTCAACAAATGGCAGCCCTTTCTCTAACCATTAGTAAGGAGAGAGGCTACCTTATGGTCATGATCAGCACGATCCACCAACCAGTGTTTTCAAAGTGTGGTCAGAAAACCTGAGATGTTTGTTGACCAAAAAGAAAAAAAAAGAATAAAGAAAAGAATAAAACTATGTCCTACCTACTCATAAAAGCTCTCTAAGATAGGTACTAGATAATATTATTTTCTCAATCAAACTTCAAGCTGCATGTGAAATATAATAAGCATCATTGATCCTGTAACCCTGTGCTGTACCTCAAGGACTGAGGTCATCCAACGCTTATTCTCTGCTGTGTCAAGAGAATGACCCAATGTCTAGGGGGTTTTCTTCAGCATTCTCCTGGATATAGACATAACCTTAATAGGTTTGTAGGTTTTTGATCAATTCCCCATGTGTTTTTTTTTTCACAAACGGTTCTATCTTAAAGTGTGTGTGTATACACACACACACACACACACACACACACACACACACACACACTCCCTCCTTTGACCAGGTTTGGGTAAATTATGGCCTTGTATAAATTCAAGCTCCAGAGAGTGCACTTGGTTAAAGGGCTATTTGAAAAAATGTGATCCAGATTATAAGATGTCCACAGTAAGAAAGGGCCATTCACAAAAAAGTCTGCCAAGCATTCTGTAGCATACAATTGTTTTTTTTTTAAACTGTTTTTCACACAATTTACTTACACGAGAATAAGAGTGTTGGTTAGAAAAATAAAAAAGAACTATCCCCAATAGAGGTTATACTAATGCCAAACACACACCTGCTGGACACTGATCAAACTGTGTTAGGGTAGAGTCAAAACTTCTAAAACACCTGGAGGTAGAGGTGGGAATAAATGGTGTAACCAGTTAAGTATTTATTACAACTGACCTTGAGTCATTTTTGTAGGAAAGATGACTCAAAGAATATAAAGCTTCATAAGAAATACTCCTACTGCTTACAAACGCACTTCTTTGTTCCAATGTGCAGGACAAGGAGAAATTGAATCAATGCAACATGCTCCAAGAGAATTAAAAAGGTTTCAGCCATATTAACATCATATACTAAAGTGTAGAGGTTCTTTACTAAGCTCCCTTCTCCTTGTTGCCTGCCATCTAGGCTACTAGTCCCTTTCTCCTTTGTGTATCGCTGGCCTGCATGTGCATCCCCATGTCACAGATACACAGTGCATGTGCATGCAAGCCATAGATGCCACTGTCCTTTCTATACCATCTACACTGGCTTTCCCTTTCATTTACATAAAACGTTGTCTAGTTCTCCTTCCCAGCGGGACACACATTTGATTTGGTGTGGGAACAATTAAAACCATGATTACCCTACCTCAAAGCACCCAACTGTCCCAAATTAAGATTTTAAATAGCTATCCTCCCTTTTACATTCACAGAGCACTGATGTCCAGGGTTTCTGTGTTTTAGACAAGCTAAGAATGCACTAATTTTACAACCCATCCAACACGTAATTAATTCTACAAAGAAACGAAGCTCTTCCTAGGAAGGGACACAAGGAAATGAACAGCACGTAAGTGTTTTCGTTGTATGAAATGCATTGTGGACACACAAATCACTAGCAGTATAAATAAACAAAAGCAGCATGTGTGCTTGCCTTACACCACAAAGAAAACAGTTGTGCATTTGCACATCATGGCATTTTAGCCTGGGTTCATGAAAAGCCTGGGATTTGGTACATTGTGTAAACACAGGTCATTGTAAACATGTGTGTGTGTCTGGTGTGTCAAGGAGAGGCTGGTAAGCACAAGGGGTGGGACTCACCAAAAGCAGCTATTTAAGAAAATTCCTTTCTCTCTCATTCATTCTTTCTAGCCTCAGTGTCTGGCGCGGTCCTTACAGCTACTCACTGGCTTTTCATTCTAAAGACAGCCGACATGCTCTTAGAGCTTCCTATGGTGTTATTTTTTCCCATACACTTAAAAAAATCAAAACCATTCAATATATGTTTCGATTTTTTTTTTTTTTTAAGGAAAGAAAATCATTGGTCTACTTCCTCACTCCAAAGACCCCGTAGATATCTGGCTAAATACGATCCTTTGTTATGCATCCAAAAATATCTCTACCACATGGTATTGGAAAATAATAAATTATTCGTATTCCAACGATGTCACAGCTATTATCATTAATTTTTTTTTTACTTTAGTGAGTCCGATTTCACACTCCTCTGACTGAGTCCTAAACGCTTCGCCTTTTCTCCCCGAACACTCCATTAATAAATTTAAGGGCTGAAAAGAGGGCGTCAAGCGCCCTTCATGCACAATGGTACTCTCCGAGACCGAGACCGAGACATCTCCAACCACGGGAAAGTTAACCTTCCAGCAAGATGCCCACCCCAATCGGCCAGAGAAGAGAGGTGAGCGAGGGGCTGCGGGAGCTCAACCTCTCATTTTTCCACCTCCAGAGAGAGGGAGGGCATGACAAGAGAGCCGAGTAGGAAGGTGGGCGAGTGGGAGAGACCGAAATGGGTGCTGAGGGGGTGGGCGGGATAGGAAGGTAGAGAAGGTGGGGAAGATGGGGAGCTCAGCGCAGGGTTCAAGAGCAAGGCGGGGTTCGAGAGCGAGGCGGGCGCGGCGGTCAGGGCTCAGGGCGCGAGGGGGCCGGTCCTCACCGTTGAACGCCCCTGCTTCCGCGGCCTCCTCCTCCTCCTCGCCGTTCTCGGAGTCGGAGCGCATGGGCTCCTCGGCGAAGTTGACACCCTTACTGGGGGTGCCGCCCCCGACGGCGGCGCCCGCGTCCCCCCAGGTCCTGCCCTCATGACCGAAGCGTGCGGCGCCCTTGCGCTCGTTCTCCTGCTGCAGCCGCGTGAAGTGCTGCAGCGCGAACTCCAGCAGGTCGGCGGGCTGGTGCCTCAGCACCTCCACCGTGAAGCCCTGCAGCAGCTCCGTGAGCCCCGCGGGAATCTCGATGCTCATGCTGCCTGTGCACGCCGGGGCGCCGCCCTCGCCCCTTTTCCGCGGTCCGGTCTCGGGCTGCGCGGCCCCCGAGCGAGCGCCCCCGGCGCTACCGGCTGCGAGCGCGGCGCACTGGGCCCCCGGCGCGGCTGCTCCGTGCGGCGGCAGCGGCAGAGCGAGCGCAGCCCGGGAGGGTTGGCAGCATCTCCAGCTCCTCCCGCTCCCTCTCCCGCGGCTCCTGCACCGCCCCACGCCCGGCGCCCCGCCCCCGCCCGCGCGCCCACGTGGTCCCCGGAAACCATGGCAACCCGGAGGGCGGGTGCAGTGCCGCCTTGCAAGTGGCCTCCCGGTGGAGGCAGCGGGAACCTAGGGCGTGGGGCCGAGGCCGCGCGCTCCACCAGAGCTCCCTGCGCAAATCCTACACATCATTCTGCCCAAGCCCACTCAGAGTTGGTGTCGCGCAATTTGTTCTGAAACTTCAGCCTCCACCTTGGTGCTGCCTTTTCTTTTCCTAGAATCCAACCGCAAGAAAAACGTGCATGATATCTTTTGTTACAGTCCTACAGCTGTACTGGTTCCCTTTTGGATAAAAGAAATACTGCCCCTTGTTTGTTACAACATACTTTTTCTTTCACTAGGTTTTATTCCGCCTTCTAGCCACCTGGCTGTGATGGCCTGCCTTACAGATGTTCTGCATGGCGTGCTTGGTGCATTTCCCACTGGTTGCTGAGACAAAGGCAGCTTTTATTGTGAAGCACTTATCAAAGTTAGTTGATATCCTCCGGACAGGACACAGGGTCTTCAGGACAGGTGGTCAGACAACAAAAGGTGTGTTGCGTGGTTAGCCTCACTGCTTATTTTTAAAACCTTTCCTGACACTTTGATTCATTTCAATTCGAATATAGCAAAACAAAGAAAACAGAACTACACATTTGTGCTTTTTAAAGGAAGCCCTTGTCTTTAAAACGAGCCTATTCTAAGCATTTTGAAGCACAAAAAATTTATCTTTTGCCAAATTAAACGCTGTTTAAATACACATCCTTCGTTTTCTACGACGCTCATTTCATCGGAAAGCACTCCAAGCTCACGCTCGCTTGGCTGTTCTTCTTTAGTTACTCTCATTTACCTTTCTGCCCACACAAAAGACAAATTACGTGACTCGGGAAACCCAAAAACTAGAACTCAGAAATACCACTTTTTAAAAAAAAAAATACATCTTTACAAGGGGCATCTTGTATTTTTCCCATAAGGGAATTCATTTCTCAAGTTCAGTCTCTTAACCTCATAATAATAATGCTGGTTTTGTTTTGTTTTTTAAAATGCTTCTAAATTGTATTTGGGGAGTGTGTAACAAATAAACTCTTAGAAAATGTGGTGATCTTCACATGGAATACAGTATTAGTCTAGTTCTCTACCATATAAGCATTATTGTGTTTTACAGATCCAATAATCTAAGATGCATTTCTATCATCTTTCTTCATGTATATTTACATTAATTATGAATATCATTGTTCATATGCAGCAGAAAACGCAAGCTATATAAGTTAAAACAAGATGAAATTGTGTTTCTCTGTCTTGTAAAGCGACCTATTGAAAGCCTTTGTGGTAGTCAGTGGTAACTGGGAATCCACACTCTTTCAAGCTCATTGCTCTGTAATCCTGGGCTTATGGCTGCTCCACCTCCAGTCATGTAGTCCAAATCAGCTGAGAGGAAAGTGGGAAGGAGACAGGGAACCCACCCCCTACACACACACACAGCAAACATACCTCATCTTTTCTTTGGCTTGGACTTATCAGTTGCACAAATTACATTTCCTGAAAATGAAAGTAATGGTACCTACAAGCCCATGTGTTGCCATTTCTAAACCAGGAGCTGAACGGAAGTAGGATTGTGACCGCTTTGGCCAATGGTGTATTTAGAAGTCACTCTAGCCCTATAATAAATGCCTGACCAAAGTTCTGATCCACAGAGTTAGTGAGCATTAAATAATAATAATAAAAAAAATAAGGTTTTTTAGCCTCTAAATTTTGGGGTAGTTTGTTGCACAACAATAGCAATTCAACACTACAATGGGAAAATTTGGGGAATGCAAATACTTAGAGATGAAGGAAAACCATGTCTGGGAGCAATTATTAGTCTCTGCCATGATGTTCAATACCTTTCCCCCAAGGACAGAAGAAAGAAGAAACTCTTCTTGCAAACATTAGCAAGAGCTGTGTTTTAAAGTATCATCTTCCAACATGTGTTCCCAACTTCATAGATTGCTTATATGAGGCATGGTAGATGGCTCTCTCATCAGTCACAACACCAGGAGCTCTCATTTCTTTAGAGCTATAGAAGTAGCTTGGGCATGAAATTAGTAATTGAGTTAGATGACCTGTTGGACTATCATCCTGGAAGGTTTACAAGAGTATAATATTAAGAGCAAGTATGTATAAACTATCTTTGCAATCAGTGCCGTGATAACTTTTGTTTGCTTCAATTCTTAAGTCAATGACCATAACCAGAAAAAAGAAAGGCTTCATTCCGTGTTCCTGTTATGTTATGCTGGAACTATTCTCAGAACAAATTTTCACTTATCAAACCATCTTCTAGCCTTTCATCACCACCACATAACCTTTGAGACAGTATTTTAGGGTTTCCTTTGCTTTCATTGTAAAGTACTTTCTTTTGAGCCTTTGAGTGAATGACAGTGTCGTATAGGGACTATTCATCTTGAATTCTTTAAAAGAACATCAGTGCTATTGATTCTTCGGTTGTTGGTTTACAAAGCAATTTGCACTAGTTTCTCAGATAATCAGACTAGAAGCAGTTGCAAAAGAATTTTAAGTGCTCAGCATTGAATGCAATAAGAATGCTACCAAATTTATTTCCACATACAAAAACTGGACAGAGATACCAAATTGCTTTAATACAACTGCTAAGACAAGACAGTATCAAGAATAAGCCAATGGTTTGAGCAAGCTTTACAATGCAGAATAATAACTATGGTCAATCAGTCACTTAGCATGTCCTATCAATAGGGTGTATCTTAATTAAATCATTCTGGTACAAGAAACGAATATGCACTCATAGAAAAAGGAAAAGAGAAACGAAAAATAAGCAGTTGAAAGCATATAGGAACTGTGCTCGTCTCAGGCCTTGGTTTTATACACCTTCAGAATTTCATCAATGACTATGGTTTTGTTTTATCTATTAAGGTTCTCAAGAAATCAAATCCAACTACATGGTCTTGACCATCCTGGAGATTACCTGACCTTGACCAAGATGGTCTAGTAAGTGCAGCCACTGGCATGTAGGATGAGGATGTGACAGTATACATACTTGACAAGACCTGACTCATCTACAAAGAAAAGTCTTAAGTGTTTGGATTAGAAATGATATAGGCAACTCACAACATGTCTGCCAAAGATTTTTACCTTGGAGCCTATAAATCTTAGAGTTTGGACTAACCTAAGCAATGTTGAATTTCTAGATGAAGTTTTGCAGGGTGATGTCTAGAAAGACTAGAGGTTCTCAAATCCTAAAAGAATCCGATTCCCTAGTTAGCCTAGCCGAAGTACCAGGCTAAAATACTGGTGCTTCGGGCCACTACTAGACTTTTAGATTCAAGAGGTGGGCCTTAAGAATTTATGCATTGCTCACATTCCTAGATGCTTCATATGTTGGGGTCTGGGAACACCAATATGTGAAACACTATACTAGATTCCCTGTGCAAGTGCTTATACTCATGCTGAAAGATATCTCCCAGAAGTGAGTTCTTTGCTTAACATCAAAGCATAAGATGCTCTTAGATTCAAGGCAGACTAGATGCAAACTCATTCTGTAATTCTATTCTAGGTCCTGAAAAGTTAAGGTGATTTTAAAAAGTATCATAGAGTGTGTTCTTAAACAGCACATTTCACAAATAGAATATGATTTTCCTTTTGAAGAACAGATTGTGCACACATTTATCTCTGCTTTTTAAAAATCCCACAAAAATAATAAATAATTAAAGGGACTGGGGGGATCTCATAAGCAGAAAAATAAGAAAACCCCAATAAAATTAAAATAATTGCTTTTAATTTACTCAGTCTTAAAAGGAAAAAACTCTGACACATGTTTGAAGACATTATACTAATTTTAATAAGCTAATTCTAATAAAATAATACAATTTGGGTCTACAAATATGAGGTAAGTTAAATCATCAAAATTCATAGAGATAGAAAGAAGAATGGCAGTTGCCAGGGGCTGGGGACAGCAGGAGGTAGATTTCTTGTTTTAGCAGGGAAAGAGTTTTGGTTTTCTAAGAAGGAAAAGGTTTTGAATTGGTTGTATAACAATGTGAATATATTTAACATTGTTGGATTGTATTCTTAAAATGGATAAAGTGACAATTTTGTATTATGTTTATTTTGTCACAATTAATTTTTAAAAGATTTACTTACTTATTTTATATACAGTGTTCTATCTGCATGTTTG